TGGTAGTCTCTTTCCAGGTCTCCCTCCTGTCCTTCTCCAAGGTCCAACCTGTCTCCTGTCCAGACCACCCTCGCGACCCAGCCCTCCCTCTCCCCCCCCAGCCAGCCTTCACAGAACCGGGAGATATTTTTTTTAATGTCACCCCTGTTGTGCACCTGACTCAGTTTTTCCTTAATGTTGTGCCATTGTGTCATGATCTCATATTGGAAGAGCAGCCGTATCTTTTTTGTGACCTCCCCCTCCTCTACCCTGGCCCCCTCTAATTCCAGGATGCATCTTCGCCACCATATGGTCCAGAGGATTGTACGCCGGCCCAACGAGAACATATTTGCTACAAAGGTATTGTCGCAAAAGTGGGGGCAGTGTCCCAACAGAATTGCCCTTTAGTCCTAAGGCCATAATGAGGCTGGGACGATGTGCCGCCAGATACTATCCCACCATCTCCATAGCAGGACAGCTGCAGGGCATTGTAGGAAGATGTGCTCGACCGTCTCAGGGCACTTTTTTTCCGGGGAAATTTTGGTGGTAGCCCCGACACCAAGGAAGCGCCCTTCCTTGTTGTTCGAGTTGTGTATGATCAATCAGCCAGTTATTGGTCGGCAGGCAACGGTGCACGATTTGCCATTGAAGAGCGGAGATTTTTGCCGGCCTTTTGTGATACTCGTTGAACCATTTGATAGGTTTGAGTGTGCTTTGGTCTACATTTAGATAGCGCTGCCCTCTGTCTTCCACCACGTAGCCTGCGCTTGGGCATGAGCATCCGGTAGACTGACTTTGTTTTAAGGGCGGCTAGTTGGACCGTTCTTTCCTCTCCCCGTCCCTGCCCTCCTTTGCCTTTCCATGACCATCTCCATTCTTGGGGATCAAGGGGGAGGTTCTCAATTGGGGTCATTGGGCGATACGCTCTCCAACCGTCCCCTTCTTCAATCACCCTGATGCGATAGAGTTCTGATTTCCTTATCCAGATGAAAGGTTGACTATTCCCTTGTAGCCGCCCTGATTCTGTAATAGGGTAACATTCAATCAGGACTTGTGCCTGATCGATTAGATGCACTAGGCCTACTTGTGAGTCGTGGCCAGGTAGCCCCACCAAGTCATTTCCTTCCAACGTTGGACCCTTCTTAAGCCTGGTGTACCATTGGATGGGAAAACTTTCAATAAGTTCTTCCATTATAGACTCAAGGGAGTGGCAGTAGCGCAAGCAACTTTTCATACTTGCTGCACTTTTCCATTCTCCGTTTTCCCTATCCCATAGGTCCCCCACCCGCAGTACCCCGTGTTTCACCCAAATTCTCCAGGGGGAGTCCGAGCTGTTCCTTACCTGACCGAGGGAGTCTGTGATTAATCTATTGCCGAACAGCGGTTGCCTGATTATATCCTCTCATCTGTCCGGGGTGGGGTGGTAGGGGAGTGGGAGTCTCCTCCATGTGCGCAGAAGGCGTATCCAGTGTTCGTCCACCGGGTCACCATTCATGTATTTCCTGGGGAGTCTCCAGTGTCTGTCCTCGAGCCATTTAAGAGGGTCTATTTCTGGTGGGGCTTCCAGGGCCAAGGCTGTGATTTGCGTTAGCGCCAGGGGAACCCAAGGGGAGGAGGTTTCAAAGATAATATGTTGGATCCAGTGGATGCTCAGGGCCTGAAACTATGTGGGAGGGTTCACTATTCCAAGCCCTCCCCCAACCTTAGGCTGAACCACCGAGTCCCATGCCACCCGACTAATAACATGGGTATTACTGTTGTCCCCTCTCTATAGGAAGGCCGCCAGCTGTTGCTTGAGCGTCTTAAGCCCACCTTTGCTTATGGACCAAAGAATGGCTCGATACCAAAGAGTGGCAAGCACGACGTTATTTATAATCAGAGCCCGCCCAAAGATTGAAGTGTGTTTGTGATTCCATTGCAGCAACTTGGCCTGTGCCAGTCTAATCAGCCATTCATCATTCGTGACAGGTTTCCCTTTGGCTGTGAGCGACGCTCCTAAGACTCTGAGGGGGTCGTCCGGGGGAAGCCAAGTGATGCGCGGGTTTTCTGGTGGTCTGCCCCCCTGATGGTGTAGCCACCAGCCCACAGTTTTTTGCCCTCAATTGACCGTCATGTCTGACACGCGACTGAAGCGGTTCATGAGGGTCTGGATCTCTTCCATGTTTTGTGCATTTGCTTCACCGATAATGGTAAGGTCGTCTGCAAACAGGAAACATATGGGTACCGCTTCCTCCGGGATGTTGGGGATCCTGATTCAGGTTAGATCTTTGTTGTGTCTTAAGTTAGCCGAAAGGGTCTCCATGATGACCAGGAAGAGATAAGGGGCGATGAGATCTTCTTGCCTAACCGATCGCTGGAGCTCGAAGGGAGGTGCCACCGATCCATTTACCTGTACACAGGTGGTGGCGTTTTTATGTAGGATGCGTACCCATCGTCTAAAAACGACCCAAAGTTCATTTTTTCCAAGCATTTATCTAGAAAGATCCAGTCGACGTGATCGTATGCCTTCTCGAAATCGATGAAGACGATCGCCGCATTTGCCCTGTTTCGTCGCGTTAGACAAACAATTTCATTTATCAACAGGATATTTTCTTGTATGTTCCGCCCGGCCGAGAATCCCGTCTGGGCTGGGTGGATCACATCTGTGAGGATTTCCGCCATACGGTTTGCCAAGGCTTTGGAGAGGATTTTGTAGACGGCTGTTTTCGTTGATTCTAATTAGGGTGTGTTTGTATTTTAGAGATACTTTAGGGTAGCGTGGCTTTTGAGGTTCATTGTGGGTGGTTAATGGTTAGGGTTTGAGAAATTATGGATTGAACTGTTAGCTGCGGTCAGGGATGGGATTGAGCGCACACCCTCTCGCCTGTCTCCCTTCTCTCTATCCCGCACGTAGACAATGATCAGTACGTCGTTACGCCAATCACGTTTTCACCTTTGCAGATCGCGCGCGGCGCCCCTTTGCTTTCCGGTTCAGAAGGGGATTGGTGGCGACAACGGAGGACCCTGCGAAGGAAGTTCTCTGACCGAGGCGCGGACCAAAAGAGAACAAGAAGAGGGGTAACGTCCAATGCTACACACTTACAACAAGGGTAGCATCTTCGTGCACAGAGAAAACCAGCTCACCTTCTTTTGGTCATGGCTACACTGCAGTATGTCAGTTAGCCACGATAACCTCACGAGCTCGGTTCCCCTTTCCGTCATGAGCTAACACTTTCCCGAAAGACTAATATCATATTTGACGAGCCTTTGCTTTTAAGCAAGAGCTAAGAATAAAGGAAGGAGTGAAAAGAGAAAAAGATAGCGGAAATTAGGGTCACTGTGACATGACAAGGGGCTTCAACTACTATCTGACCGCGAGGATCACCCTGAATCCTGACTTCACATACATCCGTACAACTTGCATTAGGTGCGCCTCCTCTCCTCCGTCCCTAGCGACATGGATGTGAGATGGGGCGATCTTCTGAGAACTACTGTCCAGGCCTTGAGAGGGTAGAGGTTCTGCTAGTCTGTCAGTGTGAAGTTGACGTCAACCTCAGTTTCGAGCATTGACCCTCTTCTTGCCTCTCGTACTGCATATGTCCCTTTCTTTGCCCCACCGTCCTGCTCGCGCACATGCATCGGCCAGCGTACCCTCCGGGCCTTCCCCCTTCTCATAAACTCCCACGCGTACTCTCTCTCGTTTGACCTTTTCGAGCACTCTCTCTCCCTCACTCTCTCTTGTTCCCTTGTTCTGTCTCTCTCTCTGTCTCTCTCCTGACGACCGTATTAGGCTCATGCACCACACAAGCACATAGGCAGCAATTGACGTCAACCGCATTGGATTCGCCCTCTGTCTCGCTACCCTCCTTTTTCCATCCCCTCTCTTTGACCTTCTCTCTTCTTACTGCCCCCGGACCATCCACGTGTAACCCGCGTACGCGCGTAACTGCCTCGGGTTCAGTCCAGCATTCTACTAGCCTCCACGCTCGATGGTCCAGCCCTTGTCGGCCTCGCTCTGCCCCGGGCCGAACTGGCCTCTGGCCCGTCCTCCACTGGTCCCGCCAGCGGATGGTTTCGGCGGATCTGGTCCAGCCCATGCCAGGACTGGACATCTGGCTCTCGATTGCTCATTTCCGACTCTCCTTCCGAGTCCCTCTCGTTGTGTTGTACCTCCCTTGCCGTGGTCCTCGTCGACGAGTCATCCTCATGGTAGGTGACCGTTACCCGCATGCTCACAGTCACACCGTCTCCCCTGCACCTTCGCTCTGCTCTGTCGCGTGCCTCGGTAATGGCAGCCTGCAGTCCTTCATCTCTTCTCATTTCCTGTTCACGGTGACCGCTGACATTAATTTTTAACCTTACTTCCCCCGTGGGCTTACCATAGGTCAGTATGGTCTCAACCATGGCACCCTTCTCATCCTCGCGTTCCCACATCCAAGACTACCTCATGTACCTTGGCCTATAGCGACGCAGACCATATCGGTCCGCCATAGCCACTTTCAGAATAGCCAGGGACTTAGTTTTCAGGCATCTGCACACAGATAGCCCTTACTGGCCCCCGACACTTCCCCCCCTTTTTGCCTCAGACCCGTGGCGCTAGCGCAGCAGAATAGTTTTTGAGCACCCACAGACTCGCCCCCAGATAGCCATCATCTGCCCCCTTTCTACCGGTGCATTCGCCTCTGGATGATAGGGCTCAGTAATCTTGATCGGTACGCACAATATCTTAAGCCTGTTCAACACCTCCTGGTTAACAAATTATGTACCATTGTCTGCTATAAACCTGCGCACGAAGGGGTATCTTAGGTAGAAGTCCTCCACCCAATCGGTCACTACTTTCCGCGCCTTCCTCTTGAGAGCTACGGCCTCTACGTAGCCACTTAGATTATTTCTTGCATCCAAGATGTATCTAAACCCACTTGTCGATACGGGCATAACCGCAAGATCGAGGTGAACAAGGTGCCCTGGTCCCAGTACCTGAGTGGGTCTAAGGGGCTCGTAAACCCATATAGAGCTCCTCTCTTGATATATCAGACACGTCTGACAGTACATTGCGACCATGCCTGCCATTTCTGGTCAGAAATACAGGGGCACGATCTTTGCAAGTGTCCCCATTGACGACCGGTGACCTCCAGCTAGCCCATCATGCATTGCCTGAATTACGTCCAGCTGCCTAGACCTCCCACAAACGACACGCCTAGGCATCATCCCTTCCTCTTTCTTAAACAGGTGACCATTTCTTAACACGTACTTCTCAGCTTCCTCCCTTGCCTTGGAGCTGACTTCCGTAGGTTGTTTGTTCCCTACAAGTGGCAGACCGATTTTTCTAAAGACGCCCTCATACATCTGTATGAGGAATAATTTTTGTTCCTTCTGATCCGTATCTTGCTCCTCCCGGGTCTGGTTGACTAGGTACTGACACTCGTTTTGCGCCCAGGTTTCGGCCAACGTCATCACGACGTCCCGTCCCCCTTCCACGACCATTGCCATAAGTTCCTCTCTGGCCCCTACTTCTGCTCCCCACGAGCCATTTTCCTCCTTGCGCCTGACCGTGGTGACTGGTCCTTCCCTGAGTTCTGCAACTACTGCAGACGCGCCCTTCTCCAAGGTCTGAATCAGCAACTGACCTATTGTAAGCGTTGAGTCTGCTATTTCGTTATCCACAACAAGGGTCCCCCCCTCGTACTCTAGGAAGGCGTCAATTGGTTCCGCGTCCTCTACTCTCTCTGGCATGATACATACCCTACTCAGCCCATCTGCCCTGTTTCGAAGCCCCGCAATTCGCTCGACCTTATAGTCGAATTGCCATATAAAGCCTATCAATCTGCCGACGGTCGGATCTATAGGCTTGTAATTCTTTAGAGCCTCGGCGACGTTGGTGGGATCCATCTTTAGGATAAATCGCCTTCCAAACAGGTATGCCGGGAAGGTCTTAAGGCAATGCAGGATCGCTAAGACCTCCTTCTTGAACTGTGAGTACCGCCGTTCTGCTGAATTCATGGTCCTACTTTCAAATCTGATTCGTCTTTCCTTGACCTCCTCGCTTTTCTGTATATACCCCTCCTACTGTCATTGGTCCGTCATCTGTTTCTAGGATAAAGAGTCGTTATACTTCGTCATTAAAGTAGGGCGCTGCTAAGGTAACCTAATCGGAAGACAAGATATCCTTGAGTGTCTAGGCTGCCGCTTCCCTATCCTCGGTCTATTCCATAGTGTCCCCTTCCCTAATCATTGCGCGGATAGGCTCAACTATCTTTGCAAATCCTTTGATGAAGATCCTCCACAACCCGACCACCCCTAGGAAGGCTCGTACTTCCGTTGTGGTGCGCAGGGGTATTGGCCATTGAGAAATCTTATCCGTCTTTGTTGGGTCAGGTTTCATTCCATAGGCCCCACAACGAAACCCCAATATGGTTACTTCCAGGACGGCTAGGATGCTCTTGGGTCCGCTTGCAGTAATATTGTAAACTAGGAATCGTTGGAGCAAGTCCTTAATATCCTGCAAGTGGTCACAAACAAACTTCTGTTCGCCCGGTTGGACCTCCGCCTCGTCCTTGTACCTTGCGCATTTTACGAGATTATCATCTATAGAAGGTTCACACTTTTCCGGAAACATATCCCCTGCAACGGCGAGCATCCTCCTCTGCGTCTCTGCTACTGCATTTGTGAAGCCCATAGGGGTCACTTGCATCTGTAACTGCCCTACGGGGGTGTGCATTGCGGTATACGGTCTATCCCTCGCATCAAGTGGCAACTGGTCGTATCCTGAATATAGGTCTATCAGGGAGTAAATGCTCCGCCCGGCGTGAGATTCGGCTAGCAAGTCTACCTGTGGGAGGGAGCCTGCATCCCTAATTGTTACCGCATTGAGCTTCTGCAAGTCCTGGATCCACCTGAGCGTCTTGTTGGGCTTCCGAAAAACGAACCATTTGTTCGCATAAGGGGATGCGGTAGGCTCAACCACGAACGAATCTATCTTGGCCCTAAGCATGTTAGTGACTTCTGCTGCTATCCCAAACTCGTAGGCAGACTCTTTATCATTCCAGCATTCATGCTCTACCGTATGGATCCTAACCGGAGGAACTAGCTTTGTGTCCAACCGCCCTTTCTGGTGATCATTAAAAGCGAAAGCTAAATGAAACTCCTGACACTCCTTCCTTATCCACTGAGTTTCTTCCGCTGTTAGAAACCCTTCCACTCCTATTTGCATGGTATCTGCTACCTCATCTGGTATGCGATGCCCTTCCGTTGCCCGCCTCTCCCTTATAACCCGTAAGATCTCTTCTTCTTTTTCCATGACCTCTTCCCTTGATATTTCTACTAGGATCGAGACCGGCTTGGCATTCTTCCCTACGGGTTTGTACTTTCGCACACTCCCTTCTGGGATCGTTCTCCTAAAAAATGAACGGTCGCGATTGACCTTGCCACCTCCATGGCTCGGGGTTGAAGACTGACAACCTTCCCAATGAGGCAGTAACCTTTCTGGATTTCTTTTTCAAATCTTGCAAGTGTTGTCGAATCTACCCCAACTTTATGGTACCTAATAGCTTTGATGAGTTGCAGCAAGTCGGGGATTTCGAGTACTACTTCTGTCGTTTCCTTCCGTCCCTCCTTTGGCTTGGGCAGGCTGACCCCAAGTTCAGTCTCCGACTCCTTTTCTGCGAGCATGACTCCTAGGACCTCGTCCTCCTATCTCCTCTTCTTTAGAGGCAGACCCATTTTGATCCATTCCTTTTTCCTAAACGCTTCCTCAATCATAATTTCTACCTTTTCCCTCATGCCTTCCATCCGTGTGAATGCGCCTTTCCGTGCACTTTCTTCAAACGTCGGCGACCAGGTTGCTAGCTTACCCTTGGGAGGGCCCCTTCCAGTTCCGAGGAGTCGGAGGAGTTCTCCACGACTAGTCACCGGATCCTCTATGTCTACCATATACGTGCCATCATGCAGGTGCCTGCCAATCATTTCTACATTGGCGCACCATGGTCTCCCAAGGATTATGTCATGGTCCATTTCTTCCATGACGGTCATCCGTTGGAAAGACCAGATGGATTTCCGAATTCCTGCCCTGACCGCGCATTTGGTGACATACCCAGTGATGGGAATTTCTCCTCCGGCTTCCCTGATACTCCCCGCTACCTCCTTGTTTACTGTGCACCCCGTGGTTGTTGCGAAATTACGTCGTATGAGGGTAATTTTTGCGTCGCCATCCACTAATGCATCGGTGTGGTGAGTTCCGACCTGGACTTTAAGTTTTCCTATAGGCAGTGCGTGAAAGTTAAGTTTAGTGTCGGGCGGTGCTCTCATGACTTCGCCACCTTCTCGGTCCGTCAGATTCAGACGAATATTGGCAAAGGCTTTCTTCAAGTCTTCCAGGCCCCCTGGAATGCTTTGGAGGTTAGAGACTCCTTGTGGCGCCTCGGCCTCCTCGGGTCCTTGTTCCTGTGGTTCCGGAGTCTCCTCTACTTTTACACGTTTACGCGTCAATAGCTGCCTGAGGCCCTTGAGTAGTCTCGGGCTTGCCTGCAACATGGTCTGGAAGGATACCGACACCATGGTGCCCAGGAGTTTGCTCAGAGTGTCATCTAATTCGGGCAGCGTCAGAATCGGGATCTGGTACCTGAACTTCTTCTCTACCGCCATGGCTTTATCTACCGGTTCTTCTTCCCTCGTTTTTCCATAAACCTTTTCCTGTTCCCCGGCCTCAGCTTCCTACTGATCTACTCTAGCCCCCGCGGCTTCTTCCATTATTGTGTCTTGGATAAGCTTCTTTTCCACGTCAGCCCGTCGGGTAGTAATATTTACCCTATCCTGCCCATTACCTTCCAAGATGAAGTTGACCTGGGGCCCGTGCCCCCTTGGTTGGTCCCAGAAGAAGCTCAGCTACGGGCTCTGCTTCTACGACAGCTATATCCAAGTTCTTCAGGAGGATGACGACACACCGCATTCCTCCTGGCGAATTCCAGTTTACACGCTCTCCCTGAGGTCCGAGAATCTCACCTTTGAGGGACCTACTGCACCTCTGTCTAATGATGTCGTGGTTAAGTCTCGGACAGGTCCTCACGAAATACCCGACCATTGTATAATATTTGCATTGTTCATTGGCCGGGTATTACGGCTTCTTGGGGCGGGAGGGCGGGTCGGGACTGAAATCCATCTGTTATCGTACTGCTGGTCTGCTGGTATGCGACCATCTGTTATCGTACTGAAATCCACAACCCTTGTGTATTCAAACTTGTTGGTCTGCTGGTATGCTGACAAGATCTTATCCTATTCAAACTCGGAGAACTGCCTGAGAAAGTATTTACTCATTATGCGGTCCGTTACCCCGGGAATTCGCAGAGCCACTAACGTAAACGCCCTTAGGAAATCGTTGTAAGTCGCATAGTTTTTCCTCTGGACTGCTGCTAACTCGGCCTCTGTTGCCATTTTCTCTGCCTTCAGGTCTATCCTCATCATCTCGTTCCTGTTTTTTTTCCAGGATCCATTGGAAGCGACGATAGCCATAATGTCCCTTCCCAAGCTTAGCGACACGTGCTGACCTAGGTGATCCATCTTTTCCTCTTCTGTCCATTTCAGTAAGGCTGCTAGGTTCTCATAGTCTATTAGAAACTCTGTAATGTTTGCCCCATCAAACGTGAGTTTCTTCTTTGCATCTGCGAGATACCCCTGGTTCTTGTTTAGTGCCCGGGTGAGGGTTGCGACTATCCTCTTGAGACCACCTTCGAGGCTACCCGCTTCTCCAGCAGCACTAGTCTCTTCCCCTTCCTTGCTTTCCCTTTGCTTCTCCCTGGTTTTCAGCGTTCCTTCCGGGTCAAACCATCCTAGCACTCTTTCCCTAAGGCTCCTGAGTCCGTCACACGCCGCTGTTACTTTCGGCCTGGTGGGCAGTCGGCTAGTGTCGTTGTCAATGGCAGGCGAGGTCATAGCGTTTTCCGTCCCTTCCGCCGAGGGGTCGTCCTTGTCCTTCCCCTTCTTATTAGGCGTTCCCTTGTGACTATTATCCTTCCCTCCATACCTGACCTCGTCCTGACCGGTCCTGCGTCCCTCACGTGACCCTGCGCCCTGGGGGTCCTCCTCTTCCCCGGTCATCATCTGCTCGATAAGCCTTGCCTTAAATTCTGCAATCTGTTTTTCTATCTCTGCCAGTTTACGATGGGCATCTGAGACTTTCGTCTTTTTAGGGGTGGTTCCTGCTGAGTTCCGAGGACTTGTTCTCATATCGTTTCCCCCTTCCCTGTCTTCCTGAGGTCCCCTTTTGCTACCCCCAGCTTTCCCCGAGCTTTCTCCAGTTGAGAGGTTCTTCCCGTCTTCTCGGGTTCCTTCCGGTTTGGCTGACTCTCGATCCCTCGTTTCATTCCCTATCCCCATTTGTGCCCTGATTCCCTCCGCTCTGCTGGTCATCGATCCCTTCTTCCGTCGCCATTCCTTTACCTAGCCTGCACATGGAAAATTTTTTTACGAAAATTGGCCGGTTGTTCATAACTCCCCTAGTCCCGACCCTCGAATCCTGCCTATTCCCATGCTTCTTGTGCCTTACATTACTCGGTACGACTCTCCTGACTTTTTTTTCCCAGGGCGTCCTTCAGGTTTTCTTATGTCAGGGGACTTGCCACCGCTGTTCGACACTTTATTACTGTCGCGCTTCGGCTCTTAGGGCGGTGTTTGAGCCCAGTGGCTTCCTTATCGAGGATGGTCCTTTTGGCTTTTCAACCTCCAAATGCCCCGGAGTTTTCTGGTGCGGGTGGTCTTCCTAGTTCCTCCTTGCCGCACTATCGGGTCGGACGGAACTCCAACCACTGCCCCCCATTTTTTTTGTTGATGGCCACCTTCTTATCTTAGTACCCATCCCTTATTTCCCTATCTTTCCTCGACGCGTTTTCTCATGCTGGTCCCTCAGGCCTGCCTTGCTCATCTGGTTCCTCGAACTGGTCATCCACCCCAGCTAGATAGTTTTCTCACATCTCTATTTCCCTAACGAATATCGGTTCATATTCCTCAAAGGCCAGACGAGGCAATTCGAATATCAAAATTTCAATGAGGTCAAGCAGTTCCCAGGCCTGATTCCCCCAGAACGGCCCATGCTTGACCGATACGTCGTAAAACATTCCCGTCGTTTGTGGCCGGAAGTGGTGGATCCAGACTAGAGTCGAATCCACCAGGTCCCTGACTCTCTTGAGGCTACCAAATACCAGATCCACCGTGAAGCGGGGAACTCGGCACCTAAGCCCTGTCATTGGGGCCGTGAACTCTCGCCAACCCCCTACCTCCACCCGGGTTCTCAATCCCACGTTTCTTCTCCCCCGCACTTCCTGGCCTACCCGGTTGAGTGTCCTAGCAGCCCTATGCAAGATTAGTAACAACCCGTGTCCCAGTGCCAATTCCGTTCCCAACATGTACCATCCCAGTTTCGGCACTGTCACCCTAAGGTAAGTGTACAGATCGTCCCCTGGTCCCCTATTAATCCTCATACCATCCCACAAACATTCCACCATCATAAACGCCTGATCCCTTCCCAAGGTCACGACCCTCCATTCGGTATCTAGTCCTCGGACCATGTAGCTTGCTGGGAGCGATACCTCCCATCCACCTCCACTTTCTGGGGGTGGTCGCGGGTACGTGGGCCGTCGTGACATCCGGGCGCATCTCGTCACCATTTTTGGCTTAATGGTCCCCTGCACAGTTTAAACAGCAAGTGAATTTACTTATTTTATTTAATCCTCAGCTCCCGCTCGAATATTTTGCGGTCTTTAGCTTGAAGCTTCTTTTCCTCTCTATTCCCTTTCCTTTCCTCAACCTCTTTTACTGACACGTTCCTACTTCCGTCGGCTCATACAATCGGCACAGATCATCCACGTACGCCATCCCTCGACTTATTTCCCGTCGAATGACACCCCACATGACTTCACTACTAACGACCGGAGCCCTTGGCCTAATACTAAATACATCGCGCAGGATGCGCAACACCTCATACCTCTGTTCACCGCTAAACGGCCTCATTTCTAGGAAGGCCCGGTAATATTCTCGATGTACCATCGCATCTTTATATGTCAGATTTACGAGGTCGGCTACCGCTCGTCTAATAAGTTCCAGACCGCATAATCTCCCCAACTGGAAGGGCGGCAACCTCATTCGTACATTCGCACTAGGCAATTCAAAACTCCCGACCATGGCTACCCTAAGGTCCGCCGTTACATCGTCACCTCCTGGATCCGCGAACTTGAATCCCGCTCGCCACACTAACTGCCATGCCCTTCGAACATACTCAGCGGATCTTCTCCTGATGCCAACCGGACACCGAACTCCCACCACCCGTCCTCTCATACATACAACCGCCCTTCCGCCCGCACATGTCCCCGCGGGTCCGGGTTCCATTCCCCATTCTCATCCGCACGCCATTGAACCCTCGTCACTAAGTAAACCATATTTTCCACAAGTTCAACCCCGACCCAATCCACCACCGGGTGTCATCCCTCATTTGCGGTGGGCAGGCTAATTTCTATCCTACCATCCACATCCCTAGGCGACTCAATGCCCAGCGGGCGGTCCTCAAGGAACGTCCTTCTTCGCGCCATCTGCGCTCTTGTCCTTGGTCTTCTCTCTCGCAATCCACACTGAGTCCTACAATGGCCAGACATCCCAATTCCTTGTCTTAGCAATTTCCTCATGCCTGCCTGGCTTACGACTTTATTGCTCTTTTTAGTCGAACCACAACACCTCAAATAGTTTGAACACATCATCCACATAGCACGGTGTCGCTGCTGCTTCCCGGCGGATTATGGCGTCCCTAATTTCCGGGGCTACTTCCATCCGATCGTTCCTCTCGATGTCCAAAATGGTAAGGACCTCCCGGGCTCTGTCGCCATGGAAAGGTCCGAGTTTCAGGGACGTTTTATAAAATTCTTCTGCCAACCATGCACAGTTCACGTGTATCCGCTCCATAGTACCGGCTACTTCCGCAACGTGATCGAAGCCCCCAAACCAGTCTGCCACGAATTCCGGCACCCAGGTCTTGGTCCGGGCGCAGGGCGATTTAAATTCCTTCCATCCTCCCATCACGACTCTACTACTGACCTCATCCCAGCCTTTGTTGGCAAACCTTTCTTCTGCCTTTCGAGTCCTTGCCTCGGCACCCTCCAAAAGCCACATCGGATTTTGTCTCACAGCAAGTGTGGTGCAGAACAGATGTCGCCCCTGCTCTGACAAGACGACCGTCCCGACGGACTCTACTCTCCCTTCTGCGATATCTTCCCATCCTTCCTCTTCCCTCAACGGATTCCAGACGCGTTCTATCCATAGGTATGATAGCTCTAGCACGATCTCATACCCCCGCCAGTCACATGTGGTCCCCTTCCATTCATTACCCATCGGTATAAACATTTTCACCCCACCTCTGGTTCGCCTTGGTTTCCATGTGCAGTCCAATAGCAGAAATTTTTGGGCCATCGCTCCCTACCTGCACATAGTCGATAACCTGTCCTTGGGTAAGTCCCCGCCCCCCTTTTCAGAAGTCTCAGTCCTCTATCTCATCTCCGTCCTCACCATCACTGAAATCCCCTTCTTCGTTCGAGAACATGTCCTTCATCCCCTCCAAGAAGGTTTCTCCTGCCGCCACATTCCAGTAAACTATCTGCCAATGCACCGGACTGGGAACAAAGATTTTGTCCGCACTGAGGAGGTTTAATACCTCAGCTAATTCTTCCGCCCAGTTTCCTTCAAACGGCCCCGTTTCCACTGACAGTCTAAGGAACGGGGGTAGCACGCATCTCATCATCCTAAGAGGGCGCCTCATTTTTTCCGATCTCCGAGTTTCACTCGCACCCCCATCTTTTCCATCTCCATTTCTGCCCGCTGACATGCCGCCCATACCACCTCTCATTCCGCTTGTCTAAACAACTGATTCGGTGCCGTGCCCAATACTAATCCCACTACCATTGCATTTTCCATTACCTGAGATAGGTAGACCCATCCTCGAGCTTCCACTGTTTCCCGGAATTCTAAGTCCATCAGACTTGGTGAGAGTCTCGTCAGGCTGACCTTGGTCCAGACCGTCTCTATCCAGAGGAATGCGTCCTTCTCGTCCAGCATCACGGTTTCATAGGCTGGCTCTAGATCCGTCCACGTTCCTTCTTCCGGGAGGACGACAGATACCCCTTCCTTTACGTCTATAGGCATTTCCGGACCGCTAGAGTAGACAGGGGGCGACAACCATCACGCCATCTTGTTTTTCCGGCGCCTATCATGTTTCCACATGAGAGCACCATACGGCCCCTCATGGTCAGATTGCTTCCCGCCTGGACGAGAATTATTTTCAGACTCCTCCCCTAGGTCTCCCCATCATTTCCTACCCTTTTCCCAAGCGTCGCCGCCCTATCATATCCTCAGTCAATCATCTTCATCCAGCATTCCTTTTTCTTGGTGTCATTTCCTTCCGATTCCTATCCAACCTTTATCATCATGTTCTCTCACTCGTGCGGACTTAGACTCGGAGGTGAGAATAGACTCAAAAGCTCAGTCCCCATCCAACATTCATCAAGCAACTTTACAGAGGGAGACACAAAAAGGCGAAATTCAGGCAAACGTCGCACACAGGTCGGTCATCTCCTCGCCGACCTTCTCCCCGGAAATGATCTCTCCACTGTTACTATCGGCAGAGTTTTATCCCATACCTCAAGCACAGCTCAACCGTCGCGAGCGTGGTACCCAGACTCTAGTGGGGGGTCGTCCTCACCTTCTTGCCCAGAATAACCCATCCCGACTTGCCACTCGTGTACCCACCGTTAATCTCGGGAATCACCCCGCACATCTCGGTAGGGTCATTGGAGCCAGCCGTCCAGGCATTCACTTCCACCAGTCCGACAAGGAACAGTCTTTCCCAAACCAAACTACGAGAAGCTACTAATCGTCTCCGAGGCTCCGTCTTTGCTCGCATGCAGCGGTACTCCCTCCGCCAGTCTACAAGCTAGGCCCCGCCTAAAGAAACGTTTCACACCCCGCCCGACAGATCAATTGAGCCGAAGCCGGTTACCACGCGGACGAGGATGTTACTAAGCACCCGGCGTGACAAACTCCCGTTAGACAGCGCGGTGGCCTGACCCCCGCATACGAACAAACGACAGCCTGCAAAAGAGGACGATGTTTGGCAACCCGCAGTGGCCGGTGCAGGCCCCCCTTTCCTTCCAAATGACAGGACGCTCGAATCCCCATCATGCAATCACAAGTCCCAAGGGGGACACATACAACACAAGTGTCTTTCCCATGGTGCACCCAGCGCTTCCTACCCATTGCTCACAGGTTTTTCACTCAGAACAGTGTGTGCCACTCACCCCTAATTTCCATACATAGTGCCTGTTTTTTTTTTTATGAGCATCTTCAAAGGTGAGCTACTTTTCTTGGAGTCTAGCAACTCCCTTCATTACCCTTATCTTCACTTTATGTGTCCGTTCATAGGGCAGGATTGTTCCTTTTCGATTACCCTTTGTGT